AAAACTTCAATTCATTCAATTTGAAATTCTATACTTTTATGTTGCCTTATTCCAGTTTTTGTTAGTCAATATTGAATTGAAATAATTTGTTAGATAGATATAAGAAAATTAAAATTATTGTCTTATTATGTAATTTTAATTTATTTAATTTGAATACCTTAATGTCTTAAAATAATTTCTGCACAAATATTTCTTTTATTATTTTAAAAGAATACTAGTCATTTTAGATTTTAATTAAAAACATTGTCTACTATTAGCATATTACTGAATATTAATGATCAGCTTGTTCATGGTATCTATGGGCATGTAGACTACAGCACAGTTTTGGAGACATATCAGTTGAATGCTCAGGCCAGTCTGGATCAAATGCAATCTGAAAGAGAAGCTAACCTCTCATTGCAGGTAGTCTCTCAATGAGGCAATGCTCATTTTGTGAGTTTCAACGCCTCCAAAACCATTAAAAGGAACCGGCTACTTTCCAGATTGTACCCTTGGAGTACACTGATGACCTTCAGTAGTCAGGAGTTGAATTTTCTCCGAAACTCAACTATGGGTGGTTCATTGAGTCCATGGCTAAAGCAGCCGCAAGGAAACTAGGTGTCCTTGTAAGGGTGCAGCAGTACTTTACGCCAGGGCAGTTTCTTACCTTATATATAGCGTAAGTCCAGTTGTGCATGAAGTACTGCTGTCACATGGGCTGGTGCTGCATAATGCTACCTAGCAGTGTTGGACTCAGTAGAGAGACGTGCTGAGAAGCTCATTGGTAAACTTGATTTGGTTGAAACCAATCATCTCAGCACAAGCGCAGAGTAGCCAGCCTCTCAGTATTTTATAGGATGCATTTCATTTGCATTTACATTTTCTTGTTCTGTCAACAAATATCAATGAAACAAATGTTTTTGATCATTTACAATTATATTAGGTTGCAACAATGGATTTCCAGCAGATGTGATATATGTATCTTGACTATGAAAAAACTTTTGACCGTGTACCATTGCAGCGACTTACATAAAAATTAGAACACTTCAGTATACGTGAGAAATTGTTGGCCTGGATCAGTGATTTTCTGTCGACAGAACATTCTGCGTACGAGTTGTAAATATTATTTCTAGACCCAGGAAAAAATTCAGTGAAGTTCTGCAGGGATTTGTTCTTGGACCATTAATATTTAACCTATATTTACCGAATTTGAAAAGCAAGTTACAGCTACTCATACATTATTTGCCGTCAACACAAAAAATTTTGAGGACCCTATTACACAATATCAAGTTATACAAGAGGATCTCAATTCCATCTGCGATTGGGCTAGTGATTGGCTCCTAACACTGAACACAGATAGTGTAGGATTCTACATATAGGGAAAAATAATCCACGAAATATATATTATCTAGGTGATCAACCATTTCTTCTATAAAATCACAAAAATACCTTGGCATTACAATAACTAGATTTTTTAATAGTAGAGAGGGCAAACTGGCATGCGGCTCACCTGATGGTAAGTGACTACTGCCGCCCATGAACAACTGCAACACCAAGGAGGGAATCGCAGATGTGTTGCCAGCCTTTTAAAAAGGAGTACGCTCTTTTCTTGAAGATCCCTAAGTCATATCGATCCAGAAAAATCGCTGATGGTAATCGATTCCACAAGGAAGTCGTGAGAGGAAGAAAACATCTTCTAAATCGCACAGTGGTGGACCACCAATCATCCAGATGGTGTGGATGGTATCGGGAGTTCTGCCGCGATGTGCGTTCGTGAAATTTGTCGGCTGGGATTAATCCGAACAATTCCTCAGAGCACTCCCCGTGTTAGATGCGAAAGAAAATGCAAAGGGATGCAACATCTCTTCGCAATGCCAATGAATCGAGCCGATCGGAAAGGACTCGGTCGTCGACGTTTCGAGCCGCTCTGCGCTGGATGCGGTCAAGTGGAAGTAGCTGGCACTGGGGAGCCGCTGCCCAGAGATGGGAACAGTATTCCATGTGAGGCCGAACCTGCGCCTTGTAAAGTTGCAGGCGGTGTGCTGGCATGAAATACTGTCCCGCTCTGCTGAGCACGCCAAGGCTTTTAGAGGCCAATTTGGCCTTCTCTTCCAAGTGACCACGAAACTGCACGTCACTCGATATGTCGACACCGAGGATTCCGATACTGGCTGAGGCAAGAAGGGGAGTGCGTTGAAACTGAGGAGATACGACAAATGGGTTCTTTTTAGCGGTAAACGCGCAAACTTGTGTCTTCTGAGGATTAAACTGGACTAGATTTAGTCGCCCCCAATCCGAGACTTTGTTCAGCAAAGACTCTAACTTCAGACACAAGTTTGTTCCGGTACTCGGCGACGTTTTCCCGAGAAATATTGGCACGGCCGGTGTATAGAGCATCACCAGTCCTGTCATCCGCATAGCAAAGAATGTTACCAGTTAGCAACATATCATTGATATGCAGAAGAACCAGCGTTGATGATAGCACACAGCCTTATGGAACACCAGCGTTAATAGGCTTGTAGTCGGAGCATGCACCGTCTACAACGACCTTGATGCTCCGATTTGCAAGGAGGCTGGTGATCCAATCGCACAATTTCTGGGGAAGCCCATAGGAAGAGAGCTTCGAAAGAAGCGCTTTGTGCCAAACCCGATCGAAGGCCTTCGCAATATCCAAACTAACGGCCAACGCCTCTCCCTTGGACTCTACTGCCTCAGCCCACTATGGGTCAGGTAGACCAGAAGATCACCAGCTGATCGACCCCGACGAAAACCGTATTGGCGGTCACTAATCAGCTGGTGATCCTCAAGGTACCGCATGAGCTGGCAGTTAATAATTCATTCCATTATTTTGGAGAACAAGGAGGTGATCGCGATAGGCCTATAGTTGGACGGGTCTGAGCGGTCACCTTTTTTAGGGATCGGGTGGACAAAAGCTGTCTTCCATGAATTCGGAATTACGCCTTGGGAGTAGGAGTACCGGAAAAGACGCGTTAGGACCGGTGCCAACTCCGGAGCACACGTCCTCAGCACAATTGGGGGGATTCCGTCAGGCCCACTCGACTTCTGGATGTCCAGGGAGAGGAGTGCTTTGCGAACCGAGCGCTGTGAGAACAGCACATCCGGAATGGAGCACTCACACCGCGGGATGGTCGGCGGTGTTTTCCCCCCGTCATCAAGAGTCGAGTTGGACGCAAAAAGGGAGCCTACAAGGTCGGCTTTGTCTTTTGCGTCTTAGGCTAGTGAGTCGTCCTCCCTGTGCAGAGATGGTAGTGATGGCTTACAGAAATTCCCTTGGACAGCCTTGGCGAGAGACCAGAATGCACGGGTTCCCGAAGGAAGGCGAACTAGTTTCTCGCCAATTCTGCCTATGTGCTCTGACTTTGCCTTGACAATAACTCTTTTGAAGGACCTGGAGGCGAAGTTATACTTCTTTTTAAATGTGCTGGTGTTTACATCCCGAGTTGCCGATGCCGCAGCCCAGGCTTGATAACACTCCTGCTTACTGCGTAATGCAGTCTTACAGGAGCGACCAAACCAAGGCTGAGATCGGCCTCCGATGGGTACCGCAGATGATGGAATAAATAGTTCCATTCCCTGTAGCACTACATCAGTGACAGAATCAGCAACAGCGCTGGGATCATCCTGCGAGAAGCGAACCCGCCCCCATGGGTAGGATGCAAAGAAAGACCGCATTCCATCCCAATACGCCGACCTGTGATGCCAAACACGGCGGCAACCTACAGAACGCAACCGCGAGGGGAGCGTGAGTGGCACCACACTCCGGATCAGACAATGGTCCGAAGAGCCGAGAGGGGCATCGACGGAAACCTGATATCCGCCCGGATGAGAGGTCCAACAGGGAAGGTGTATGATCCTCCACATCTGGAATCCGCGTAGACGAAGTAACCAGTTGTGTCAGACCATATGCCAAAGCAAAGTCACAAACAGATCTCCCCGCATGATCGGTTAAACGTGAACCGAGCCATTCGGCGTGGTGGGCGTTAAAATCGCCAAGGATCACGATCTCTGTGGATAGGACCTGTTGTAGCAAAGAATCTGTAGCCATTTGGACGTGGTCAATGAGTCGGTCTGTTTCGGCATTACCGCTATGGGACCTATAGAGGCACCCGTAGACGCGCGGATGGTCGTCGCTGTCTACGCGTAGCCATAGGATGGACAGGTCCGAACCTTCAAGACTGCCGAGGCGTCGAGAACAGATGTCCTCACTGACTAGTGACTAGTGACCTGAAATGGGAATCTTATATCCTTAACATAGTAAAAAAGGCAAACTCTATGATGCATATGATTCGAAAAAGCTTTATGTGTCTCACTCCTAAAACATTTATCAAGATGAAAATGTTCAAAGGAATGCTACCAAAATGGTAAAACAACTGCGAAACATGACATATTAGCAGATAATGAAGAAGCTTAACCTAACAGCACTAGAGTGCCGTAGACAGAGAGATAGTCTGATTGAAACATTTAAAATACTGACGGGATATACAATGTACATACTCTGCGAAATTTGTACTTACTGAATAGCAACAAACGTGTGAGAATACATCAACTTAAACTCTGCCATAGGGATGCTAAGCGGAATCCCATGAAGAATTTTATTACAAATCGTGTTGTCAACAACTGGAATAAGCTTACTGCAAAATGTGATTGATGCTTCAAGATTGTACTCCTTCATGACCAGATTGGATAAAATCTCCAAACATGAAGATGCGTACACATCAGCTTTTGATCAAATAGCATAGACAATAATAATAGTTTCTTTCCCTTTCCCCCTAACCCTCGGCCGTTTGGTCTCCCCTGCCGAGGGCTTCCATCTGGTTGGGTTTTTATTTATATATGTATTTATCATTTACAATTATATATTTATACAACCTCACCAGATGGGAAAGCTATATAGATACCCCATAATAATAATACAATAAGCAATGTGACAAAGTAATTTACTATACTAAAAGTACTACATTACTAATAAATAGAATTAAAACAAAATAAATTACTTACAGCACAAGAACCATGGCCAGACAATGTGAAGTTGTTTCAGCCTTATGAAGTTGAACAAATTTTGCTACCTGATAATGCTAGTTGCCTTGCAGTTCAAGCTTTCTTAAAGGTAATAACACAATTGAAATGATTTTATGTTATTTCATTATAACTCTCTTTGTGTAAAATCTTCAAACTAATTTGGCACTTTATAGCAATGATATTCATAAAGTTTGTCTGTTAGAATTGTAGAAGTTTTTTCAGTCTTAAAGTTTTTTGATAAATTTCATGTTATTGGAGATTATTGTGGGTGGCCACAAAAGAATATTCCAATAGGTTAGTTATAATAAAAAAAAACTTCTCTATATTTCTTTATCACTTATTACATCTTTACATCACAATTTCTCATTATAATATCATACTTTTATTGTCTTTAAATCATACTTCAACTGCAGTTATTTCTTTCCTTTTATATTTGATAATTTATTAAAGTATGGTATTTTCTCTAGAAAAAGATCTTATCCAATTTCAGATGTGCAACCTTCCCTTTGAAGTGGAGATGCGTTGGAATGCAGAGTTTATGTCACCTTCTGGTCGTGTGCCGTTTATAAAATGTGGTGCATTTGTAGTATCAGAATTGGAACCTATTGTTCAGTTTGCTGCTAATAAAGGTGTGACACTTTGTGGTCGTTTATCGACTGAGGAAAAGGCTGAAATGCGAGCATATATGAGTCTCATCACCAATGTTTTAGTAAACGCTGAGGTAGGTTGATGAACATTAAATTCTTTGTCACCTAAGTAATATTAATCCCTTTTTATTGATTGATGTAGATACTAAGAACTATTTCCTGCTTTAAATACAATGGTAACATAACATAACATTAGAACTTCTGCTTCTAGGCTAGACTATAAATAGTCTACTGTCAGATATGGGCCTTTTCCATAATAAATAGAAACTTTTGCAATGTTACCCTCATAGTATGCATCTCATTGCATGAGATTTCTTGCTTGCGAAGCTTTTGCTGAGACCACTAATGGACATAGACTTATCCCTTTTTTGAAAAATTTTATGGAGTAGTTAATCCTCCGTGTTGCTCCAGTATGTGTTCGCTGACTTCCCGTGCACTCCAAATATTTTATTTCTCAGAGACTCTAATAATAGGATGGGGATCAAACTCAGTTTGAAATTTAAGCTTAATTAAGAAAAAAAAAACAAACAAAAAAGTTTTTTTTCCTTTATTCTTTCTATTTATTCAGGATATAAATCATCATCATCAATAGCGAAATTGCAAACACAGTCCTAAAAATAATATAAAATCTTCATGCTTATTATATCATAGTTTTTTACGTTTATAATGTGGATGTTGTGATACTAAGTAGTAATCATTTATTTCTTCATTAATTATTTTCTATGGAAATTCCACTGCTGAACATAGGCCTCCCTGATAGATTGCTACATATGGGCAATATATTTGCCATAATTGCCTTGCTTGGTAGGCAGGTTGTCAATTGCAGGTTTTTTGTTTTTAGCTGTTATCAAAAAGATTCGGCTGCCCATCTTCCGTTTTATTTCCATGTAACCTCACGACACCAAAATACGGGACGATATGCGGTAGTGAATTTGCCTACGTCACCAATACACGGCTAAATAATAATTGTACATACACACTGATAAAACATTTGATGGCTCGGTAGCATTGCTGGGTCAGCAGCTTTGAATTCCACATAGACAAAGGGTGTTTGTATGACCTAAAAATGATTGTCCCAGGGTTGGATGTTTGTCCTTTATGCAATTGTTCATTCATCAAATTAATAATTTATTGCAGCATATCAGAAGGCCTCTGTGAAAACAGGCCTCCTATATATATATATATATATATATATATATATATTGCTTCCTAGGGGGATATTTGCCATAGCAGCCATGCTTGGCAAGCGGGTACTGCGGTAACTGTAATTTTTTTTATTAATTCCAGTTGTTATCAGGAATATGCTGCTGCCTATTTCCTTTTTCAATTACCCTCTGTCTCTACTTAGGACACTTACGGGATGAAAAGGGTGTAAAAAAAATTTTAGAGAACCATTTTTGTGCAAAAGTTTTAAAACATATGTAGAATCTGCACCTATAATCTACCTAGTCATATGTTACGTGAAATAAGTTATTATGAGTGCTTTCATCATTTTTTTATATGCAGTTATACATATCATGGGTGGACACTGACACCTTCAACGCAGTAACTCGTGTTCGGAACGCATCTGTGTACCCCTGGCCGTTGGGTTGGATTCAGACGCGCTCTAAGCGGAACAATGTTATAAAACGCCTAAAAGCTCTGCATTGGTACGACAAGACTCTGGATCAAGTTTTAGCTGATGTGAGTAATAGAAAACATTTTTCCTAAATAACAAGTTGAACACCTCCAATTAAGTTTTTATTTTTTAAATTGTTTATAAAGAATGTATTACAGTATGCTAAAAAAAGTTGTGGTGGTGCAAGAGAACCCGTGATCACATTTCGTTCTGTGGGTGTTGTAAGAGGTGGCTATGGGAAAGCGAGAAAGTTCTTATGGATTCTGAATTATGATGCATGGTTTTATAGCCGATAGATGCAAATGCCGTGTAGTGGCGGTCAAGAATATCCACTACCCCATATCCTCCCGTGGGTGTCGTAAAAGGCGACAAAGGGAAACAGGCAGGGGATGGGCAGCAGCATCTTCCTGATAATAGCCAAATTACAATAAAAAAACTGCGGTTGCCAACCCGCTCGCCAAGCGTGGCAACTATGGCAAATACCCCCCTATGAATGACAGTAAGAAAGAAACGGCCCCCAGTCCCCGGCGGCCCCGCTATTCCTGGCTACGGTGGCGACCATGGTAACGGCGGGGCAGGGGGTGCTAAGAATCTCCGGTGGAGGTTCGGTTGCCACCTTAGACGACTCGACCTGGCAACGTACAACGCACGCACCCTGAGGACTGACGAGAAGATCGTGGAGCTGGAAGAAGAGATAGACAAGTTGCGCTGGCATATTATAGGATTATCCGAAGTCCGAAGAGAGGGGGAGGACACGGTAATCCTCAAATCCGGCAACTTGCTCTATCACCGGGAGGGCGACCATCTGTCCCAAGGAGGTGTCGGATTTATCGTCCACAAGTCTCTCGTTAACAACGTTGTAAAGATCGGGAGTGTGTCGACGAGGGTTGCGTACCTTATACTCAGAATCACCAAACGGTATTCGCTGAAGGTCATACAGGTTTACGCACCAACCTCGGCACACCCCGATCAGGAGGTGGAGGAAATGTATGAGGATATCTCTAGAGCCATGCATTCCTCCAAAACCCAATATACGGTGCTAATGGGAGACTTCAATGCAAAACTAGGCACAAGAGAGAACGGTGAGCTGAAAGTAGGGAAATTTGGAATAGGGCAACGGAACCCAAGGGGCCAGCAGCTGGCCGACTTCATGGAGAAAGAGGGACTCTTTATGATGAACTCTTTCTTCCAGAAGCGGCCCCACAGGAAGTGGACCTGGTCGAGCCCCGACGGTTCCACAAAAAATGAGATTGACTTCATTATGACGACCAGACGACAACTGTTCAGTGATGTCTCCGTGATCGCGAGGGTGAAAACTGGTAGCGATCACCGAATGGTTAGAGGCACACTGAACCTAAACGTTAAGTTGGAGAGGTCTCGTCTAATGAAGTCAACGCTCCGTCCCCCTCGTGCTCTGTTCCAGAGTCCCGAAACCTTTCAGCTCGAGTTACAAAACCGTTTTCAGTGCCTGGAAAACTGCAATGAAGTGGACGATATGAATGACAAGCTCGTGGAAACTGTCCATGCGGTCGGAGCTAAGTTCTGCAAGACCCACCGCAGAAGAACACAAAAACTCTCCGATCACACTCTTAATCTCATGGCTGTTAGACGGGAGATGAAGCTACATTCTTCAACAGACTTGACAGCATACAGGCATCTGAACAGACAGATCTCCAAATGCATGCGGCGGGACTTACGCAACTTCAATACAGCTCGTATTGAAGAAGCGATAGAGCGGAACCAAGGCTCCAAAGTCTTTGCCAGAGATCTGTCTGCCAGAAAGAGCCAACTGTCAAAGCTGAAGACAGAATGTGGCAGCATCGTTTCCGGGACACCTGAGATTTTGAGTGAGATTGAGAGGTTCTATGGGCAGCTGTACACGTCATCGTTGGAGCCACACGCAAGTGTGAGTAACGATCCAAGAGCGAGTCTCATCCGACACTATTCCGAAGATATCCCGGATGTCAGTCTGAGCGAGATTAGGATGGCTCTCCAGCACCTTAAAAACGGTAAGGCCCCAGGCGAGGATGGAATTACAGCGGAGCTTCTGAAAGCGGGTGGAAGACCGGTACTTGAAGTCCTTCAGAAGCTCTTTAATTCTGTCCTCCATGGTGGCATTACACCGGAGGCGTGGAGCAGAAGTGCGGTGGTCTTGTTCTTCAAGAGAGGTGACAACGCTCTCTTGAAGAACTACAGACCGATTTCCCTTCTGAGCCGCGTCTACGTGCTGTTTTCGAGAGTCATTACGAATCGTCTCGCGCGCAGACTTGACGACTTCCAGCCTCCCGAACAAGCCGGTTTCCGAAAGGGCTTTAGCACTATAGACCACATACATACCCTTCGGCAAGTTGTACAGAAGTCCGAAGAGTACAATTTGCCACTATGTCTGGCGTATGTGGACTATGAGAAAGCCTTTGATTCCGTCGAAATTTGGGCGGTGCTGCAGTCCCTTCAGCGGTGCCAAGTTGACTGTCGGTATATCGAAGTGTTGAAGTGCTTGTACAGTAGGGCTACGATGGCTATCCGAGTACAGAACCAGAATACGAAACCTATCCAATTGCAGAGAGGTGTAAGACAGGGTGACGTCATATCCCCGAAACTCTTCACCGCTGCATTGGAAGACGTTTTCAAGCTTCTGGACTGGAAAGGATACGGTATCAACATCAATGGCGAGTACATCACTCACCTTCGATTTGCCGACGATATAGTCCTTATGGCAGAATCGCTGGAGGACCTAAGCACTATGCTCAATGACCTCAATAGTGTTTCCCAACGGATAGGTCTTAAGATGAACATGGACAAAACAAAGATTATGTTTAATGTCCATGTCACACCTATGCCGGTAGTTGTTGGGAGCACTAAGCTCGAAGTTGTTGACGAGTATGTTTACCTGGGACAAATAGTCCGACTAGGTAAGTCCAACTTCGACCGAGAGGTCAATCGACGGATTCAACTCGGCTGGGCAGCGTTCGGGAAGCTACGACACATCTTCTCGTCAGACATACCTCAAAACCTTAAAACGAAATTGTACAACCAGTGCGTGTTGCCAGTGATGACTTACGGAACTGAGACGTGGTCCTTCACTGCTGGCCGTATGAGGAAACTCAAGGTCGCTCAGCGAGCTATGGAGAGGGCTATGCTCGGAGTTTCTCTGCGTGATAAACTTAGGAATGAGGATATCCGCAGTAGAACCAGAGTGACCGACATAGCCCAACGGATTAGTAAGCTGAAGTGGCAGTGGGCCGGCCATATAGCTCGAAGAACCGACAACCGATGGGGAAGAAAGGTTCTCGAGTGGCAGCCTCGTACCGGTAGGCGAAGTGTAGGGCGTCCCCCCACGAGATGGAGTGACGACCTGGTAAGACATGCAGGAAGTCGATGGATGCAGGTGGCTCAGGACCGTGCTTTGTGGCATTCTTTGGGGGAGGCCTATGTTCAGCAGTGGACTTGTGAAGGGCTGTAATGATGATGATGAGATGCAAATTACACAGGCCAGCGTGGGGAAGCGGAGTTCAAGATTTGAGACATCGGTTAGTGTGATGGTCAAGCCGATTGTATTTGGCGTAACCATACTGTATATTCTATAATACAGAGTGTATAATAAAACTAATATTTTTTAAACTTTAGTTTTTATTAAATGATTTTACCATTTTCACTTGAAACTCCTAATATTTTAAGAAATATACGTTAGTATATAATTAGATTTGAAATAAAAAAAAATATGCTTTACTTTTTTAATAGTTTTTACTGTACGTTAAAACTATAGAAATTTTTATTAGAATGTAAAGTAGTAAAGTAAATAGTGGTACAATGGGCGGTGTTATCGCTAAAAGCGTTTCCTTTCAGACAATCTTTGGATGGACAATATTGTAAATCCAGTGTTCCAAAATGCAACTGTACTATTGCTACTTCCATTAAAGTTCTCAATCCTTAAATCATAAAATTTCGTTGACTTTTCAGTCAACATAGTTATCATCATCATTACATTTAATAATATAGTTAAGGTGGTCTTTAATACTTTTACAGGTTGAACAATGTTGCAACTCATTAAGCCAGCGTCTGGGGGACCGCGACTATTTCTTCGGAACGTAAGTATTTTCAATTATAACAATATAACTGTTTGTTAAAATAATTATAGCGTAAACTATGAACATGTATTTGTTGTGACCTTAGATGGGAAAATGAGAGGTCGTATGTTTGAAGACGTTAAAGAATCGATCACGGCTTATCTCGTAGATGTAAAGTAACAGTTCCGAGTAGAGGTGTTCTCTCATAGGGTGTTACCACACCAATCGATCGATTGGTGAAGTGGATTATTTGACGTCGATCGAGCTGCTTGATTATTCGAAAACCCGCCCCGCTCCACCGACCGCATTTTGAAAGATATTGATGATGAGCCCACAACTACATCGATTAATCGATGTCGATCGTTGGTCGAACAACGATTTATCGACCAGTAATGCTACCAACCACACCAATCGATCGAATAACCCTTAGAGAGTTTTTTTTTGGAGTAGTTAAGAATCCGCCGCGTTAATCAAATGCGTCATGGCGAACTTCACATGTGCTCGAAATATTTAAATTCCTCAGGTTTTCTCACGATGTTTTCGTTTACCGAACAGTCCTTGGCAAATCTGCACTTAGTTTGGCTCAGGTTAGAACGGGCTATTTTCTACAACTACTCGTCTAAGCGTGTTATTCGCGTATGAACAGGATTATTGTGGTAATTTGAGCCATGAACTCTCCTCGAAGAAGTTCGTCGAGTGACGAGTGACCTCGTCGTGATGCTTAGCACTGTATGTGCACTTAGAGAGAACAGCATTGCAGTGTAAGACATCTGGTTGTTTATCAGAAAATCTGCTTGCGAAATTTGTAATTTTAAATTACTGCTTTTGTAACTCTCCATTTATAAATAAAAAATGCAAAATTTTGTTGATTATATTTTTTTTAAAACGATCGTTCGTGCCATTCTGCATACAAATATCGAAAAATATACTTTAATTCTTATTGTCTTTATGGTAAAAAACAATGTAAGATATTTTTTTTGCCTTAATTAAGCTAACCAATTTTATATATATACTAGCTGGTACTCGGCGCGTTGCAGCCGCTGAAGAAATTGTATTGTTTAATTAGGAATGATAATACATTCATTGAAGTTTACCTATTGTAAGTTGATGAAAAAATGAACTGTAAATGAATGTCCTATGCCTATAACCTCGGAAGTGCAACCAATATGTTGACAAAGTTTTACCGCAATCACATAAAATACGAACAAACCAACATAAATTTAAATATATTTGATAATGTATAACCGAGTGTTGCAGCTAGTCTTATATGATTTAGGTTCACATTCCATATACATTAGTCATCATTAGATATATGTATAATATCTTATACATAATGTAATAAAAGTCTTGCACATTAAATCCTATATCCATAATAAAAGAAATACCAATAACAAACGCCATACGGCTTACAAAATGCTCCTTTCATAATCCTGTTCCATCCTGTTTTATCCTTGCTCTTCAGACCTACTCCTTTAGATGTCTTGGCATATGGCCACATGCGGGCAATCCTTTCTGCTACTGGACCTAAGGCTGCACTTATGATCAAACCAATTACAGGTGCCCTTTTAAGGCATCTTATAAGGATGACTAATCTAACGCAAATGGCTCTAACGGTAAGTCTACAAAACTGAATTAAACATTACATTCTGCTTTATTTTACTTTCGACCGCGTGGTTTAGTGATCAGAATAAAGAAGTGAGTGGCGGATCCTTTGAAACTAGAATTTCCGACTAGAATTCGAATACATGGTAATGTAATTATTTTGTTACAGTAGGTTATGTATGCTCAAATACTGCTCAATTTTAAGATGTCGTTAAGCTTTGTGCTGCCTCTATCACTAAGTCAAGTTGACTGTTTTTATACGTGGTAGAGCCATGCTGCAGCTATATTAATAGTATAGTTGTAGCACGAATAGGTCGGCTCGACCGGGGAAGGACCACGCTCTCACAGAATACCAGCGTAAAATAGCAGCTTAATGCTGCTGTGTTTCGTATGGTGAGTGTAGAGAACCGGAGACCACCAGGTTTGTCACCCTTATACTATAAAAAAGCCATGCGACTTAGCGACCTCTTAAAATTGAGTAACGTTTGAGTATTTGGCCATTAGGATTTAATATATGGGGGGGGGGGGGGGGTGTTGTTAACTATTTTCGGCTTCAGTGATGCGAGAAGTCTGGTACATCGATTGCCTATCCGCTTACCAAACAATAATAATTTATTTGTTTAAAACTTTACAAACGTGGAGACAGATCGGACGCAGGACCAAAGGCTTTAAGTGCTTTATGGGACACGTTGGTGAAAGATCGCCCCATGACCTGACTCCATGTTGCTACTGAAAATTTCTTGACAGAAAATACCCAATAACTGATTTTACCCCGATCTGGGATTCGAACCGGGACCTCATGATCGGTAGTCGCGCTTATGACCGCTAGACCAACGAGGCAGACTGCCTGACAAACATGATCATTACAGCAATAATCCCAGTATTATAATTTAAAAATAATTTTTTTTTACAACCGACTTCAATATAAATTATTAAGAATAACTCAAAAACTATTGGTCTGACCTTGATCAAATTTATATGGCACCACATGTGAAGCACCAGCTTTCAAATAAAAAAAGAATAATCGAAATCGGTTCACCCAGTAAAAAGTTGTGAGGTAACACACATAAAAAAACATACAGTCGAATTGAGTACCTGCTCTGTTTTGAAGTCGGTAGAAAATAGGAGAGGCCGACATTCAGCCCAAAACAGTTGATAAAAATTATGCTACAGAAGAAATATGATTTGAATAGTAACATGTATTGATGTTGACGGTAATTTGATTGTCAATGGGGAACAATATATTGTGCATTTACTTAATTTTATGCTCAAGTTTCTATTAAAACTGAAAAAACTATCTATTAATACTGAAACAATATCAAAAAATATATGTCAACATATTATATTAATAATGAATACTTAGAGAGAATCCTAAATGTAATTTATGCTAAAAGAATAGATATGAATAATTTGTAAGATTGTTGAAGGTACCATATTATTAAATAATCTCCGTTTGATGTACTTTAACGTATGCCTTGTTTCATTTAGCCCCAAGAAGATTATTTGCTAAGCCAAGCCTCTCAGATATCTATCAAAAAGCGTATTACTTCAGAGATGAATACGTCTAAAAGCAGCGCACGAATTAAGCGATCTAAGCTATGCATCAAGAGCTCAAGCAGAGATATTGTCGCATGCAACAGAGATGTCTTTGGTTAACTGATTTTATTTTATTTTTAATTGGTTTATATTGGTATATTTTCTACATTCATGCCCATAATATAGAATAAAATATAAAAATAAAGCAATTCTATAATTACACAGGATTCAAACCCTTTGCCTCAAAACAAATAATAATAATGACATCAGAAGGGGACAAAGTGACTTGCGAATATGGCGATCCCAGTAAATATGACTGCAACGTCAATGAAAATCTTGCATTCATCTCCGAATATGTCGAAGAAATTATCAAAAAGGCCGAAAACATCGTAGCTGAAAAGGGATTTGGAAATGATGATAGAAATGATTTTGAAGTGATTGTAGTTCCGAATAACAATGATTATAAATATCTCAACGCAGATAATATAAATGAGTATTTAGACGCTATCGAGGAAAATGATTTGTCAAATACAACTACTTCTGTAGATACAGGAGAAGACATAATACAGATTATTAATGAAGATGATGAAATTGACAGTGATGGTTTAGTAAATGATAAACTTTTGCTGAGAGCAGAAGTTACTAACGGTGACTTCGAATCTGAGAAGTATAACCTACTTAAAAAAATTGATCCGAGGTAATTAAACTAAATTCATTTATATTTTACAGTATTTAATAAAATTTTGTCTTAATAGTTCATTTTATATAACAAGCCCGGTATCAATTAATAAGAAAGTATCGCAGAATGCTTACAGTATCTTGAAATTTTGCAGTGTTTTGCTTTGCATTATGTAACTTGCACAAACCGATATAGCACCGAACCAACTTTATTGAAAATGTAATTCTTTTTGATATTTGAGGTTTTGAGTGCTAGAAAATCTGACCTAAATATCGGGGACAATTCTGAACATGCTTAAACACTTTGAACCTTCTGGAGCATTGCCATTGAACGTTTGCATTGTGTTATATTATTTTTTAATTTCCTTTATTCAAAAGCAATAAAATAAAAATTCATCATATTGTAATTTGCGAAGGAATCGTTAAACAATATTTTAGTAATTATTGAGGCATCCCATTAGCAAATCCGAAAATGCAATGCTTGTGTTTCAACCTAGTCGGACGGACGCTTGTTAGCTTTTCACAATATCTTTTTATTTACCATGCTCTACACCTCTACAGTCTAGGCAATTTTAGACCTTCCGCTTTAATGTGACGATACCTGATGGTGGAACTATGATGGCATCAATGTTTTCTATTAAATCGCGCTATTAAGACTTTACAAGTCGAATCTTTAATTTTACATAATATATAGTTTTTTTTAAACATAATCTTTTGCGAATATCTTTAGAATTACTTGTATAATTTAGATTGCCTGTTTGTTTGTGTTAGAGATTTCATATAGTTTAGAGTGGTGGATTTAGATTGTAAATGGGATCCACAGAATTTGTCATTATTAACAGAACTTGCTGTAGTTTTATTTATTTTTATTTTAACAGTAAGGAGTATATTGGAGATTGTTTGGATGCAAATAAAAATCAACGTCAAGCGTCTTACGTATCTATTAAATCTCGCTGTTCGCTGAATCATCCAGGTTTATTATTGTTTACTTTCTGATTTTTTTTTATGAAGTTTCACGTTATCGTATTATGTAATAATATTATGTTTAGTTTCTTTGAAAAATATTTTAAAGGCAAATATGGTTTTTACAAATATTTTTAAACTTTCCATTTGGTTGGTCAAGTTGCTGTAATGGGTCCGTACGATTGAGACCTATAGATTTCGATTTTACTGGTTTTAATTTAGACTATGTGCACGTACTTTCTTTATTCAAAAGTATGTACGTACTACACGTTCAACTGCTGGACACTGGCCTTCTCTCATTATGTACATTCGTATGTTTGAAATTTTTTCATCTCGTTTATGTCGAGAAAATAATAACGATATCGTCTTTGTCCCCAAACCGAAAAATTGCGTAATAAATACCTGTTAGTGTTCATTTAATATGTTACATTTACTCTACAGTTTTGTAACAATTAAAAAACTACTGAGAATTAGCCATCAAGTGGGAAGTAGATAGTGAGGAACGACCGAATCTCACCAATATTCAATTTTTGCTCAGTGATTGCCAAGCATAGGAATAAAAGTGGCCTTCCGTTAGCAACATTACAACATGATTAACTGATTTTGAATACATGGAACATGAACCTAATACATCTTTAGCATAGAAGACATGCTTTTTATTACACATACTTGGTAGACGCTGTTCTGCTATTTCCTGTATGTCGTGCGACGAGTTTGATTTGAATTTAAATTTTATTAATAAAACGACCATAGCGGTACCAATCAAGTCTATATTTTGGACTATTTTTGGCACTAAAAACTTATTATAAGCTAGTGCTTGACCAGTATCCCGCCTGGTGGTAAGTTGTGACAAATCCCTAGATGGTAAATCGCACTGAATTAGCGTAGCAAAAGCCGTCTTATTCACTCTTGCCTTGAAGACGCCCAGATTGTATTCGGACGGAAAGACAGTCGTCGGAAAATGATTCCACACCTTTGCTGTACGCATTACAAAAGACGAAGCAAACCGTTTGGTTCTAATGCGTGGAATATCGACAACAAAGGGACCTGCCGACTGGCTGGTTGTCCGATGGTGGAAAAGAGAGGGAAGAATTAAAGCATTTAATTCCCTAATACGCTGTGAATATGAGTCATTTTAGCCCGTAGAATTTGTTAATAAAGTGACTACAGTGCCATCTATCGGATCCTCGCATAACTATAAACCATCGTCTCGAGAAAACCAATATGTAATTGTTTGAATATGAACTTAATCGGTAAAGTCGTTCAGAAGTTATGCGATCAATACGATTATATAATATATAAAAGCTTGAGTATTGAATTTCAGGTTCTAAATCGACAATAAATGGCCCAGGCAATGAAGAAATAAGCATTGAAAATTTGATGGATTATTTGCGAAAGAGGAACGCTAATTTCAACAATTGCATTGAGATTGCCGACATTGATTAACCATAATTTCAACTATTTTCCGATATATTTGTTTTACATTTATTTTTATAGAAGAAAATTGTATTAAATTGACAGCTAAAGTCGAATGATTGATATATTTAGGTGCTTTTTGGTTGTCAAATTATTTTACAAGAATAAAATAAAAATTATAGTATAATAAAATATAATTATAGTATCCTCGGACTTTTAAATATCTATTAGAAGTTTAAATTAGCATTATGCAGAATGGTACACACATACGTAAGTTTCCTTTGTTGTCATTTTTCATTTTTAGTAGCCACTTGTTTTATAATGGTTTCGACTAGAGCATTGTTTTAGAGAGTCGGTAAAATCACTGGCTATAAGACATTTCAACATAGTCCTTAGAGCTGACAAGTGATAACACACCGGTAGCATTCCCTTCCTTACCTCAGACCAAAGAAAAATAGAATACGTTACATTCCAATTGACACGGGTAGCAAGCTCAACTTATTGTAGAACACGCACTCACGCACATATTTGCATTTAAAATAATTTGCAACAAACAACATGGTTTTAGGTACATTCAGCATTTGATTTTTAGTACTGATAAAGAATTAAATTATTATTGCGATGCAAAGAAAGAATATTTGTGCGTGTATGCGTGTCAAGTTATTCATGGGTTCGGTATCACTTGAAATGTAGATACGAATTGTTCTATAGTGTAGATGTAATTTCGTGATAGGAACCCAAAGTTCCTTACATGAAGTTTGCCACGCACTATATTGCTGAATCTTTCGTGTTCACCAAACATTCTCATTTGTCACCAATAGAAAATGTATATCGAAATTGTTTATTGTAGTAATAGCTGAAACTTACGTTTCGTTTCTTTTAGATATTAATTCAACATTTTCTCCACAGGCCGACTGAACTGGACGCCCTCGTCTTCGGTCACGTGTTCACAATTATAACGACGCGTCTCCCTTGCCGCAAACTGGCCGACATCGTTCGGAGGCACGAGACTCTTGTGGCACTCGCCAAGCGCATCGACGAGCAATACTTTAAGCGGCCATAGCGCGAGGTTTTCAAGGACATCTCCACAGTGTTTAGAAGTCCTTGAACCACCTTTTCCTTCACTTGACATCTATCTCTATCGGAATAAGATCATGATATTACGTACTTTTTCCTACAAGAAATGAAAAGTTTTATGTAACTTTATACACCTCTTCAGCGATAATCCAATATGCACATGATGCTCTCCTTCAGTATGTAGTGTAGGTCATGAAGCAACTTTGTATTTGCTTCATGAGTGTATGTATATATAGAGGATTATGGCGTTATGCCTAATGAGTGGATTGGTGGCTGAGGTCCCATTTGTCTAATTCGGTGTAATACATATGACATAGATGATTATACCGTCACTTGTCGTAAGTCATGAGATCTTGCATTTTCTATATAATATTTTATGTCGTGTACAGTTTTCAGAGTGAGAAAAACTGTCCATCCGTCATTTTTTGTAACTTGTCACCAATAATAGTTATTGTTATATATTATGTATTGTTATAAATATTATATACTAATAGTTCCCTTCCGATTAAGCTTAAAATGCTTGGATTAAGAGTGGTTCATGACTGTAGTCGAACTCGAAGGGCGGGTTCGAACTCTTAGTTATTGAATTTTGCTTAATTAATATTTCGACAAATATTACCAGCAGTAACAGTATTCAATGATTTCAATATTTAACATTTCCAAGAAACATTGTAAATTCGTTATTATTTGTTTAAAGAATTCGCTCTAACCATTTTTCCCCGTAGAACCGGTAATGTTTACATTTACAACACTGGTAACACTGTAGTATGATGGTATGCAACATATCTCAAAGTATGTTAACAATATTTGTTTGCGATAAAACTGCTCATGGAACCATATTTTTTTAAATGTAGGTAAGCTATTAGCGTAAGTTACTAAATGTCAATAATTGTTATTGTTAATTATGTAATATATTTGATAAATTACATTCATTATTGTCATGTTTAGCCAGATGACATTTGTTAGTGTTTAAATAAGGTTGTTATTTTTTTAATAGAGTGACTTAACATTTTAAAATGTAGTAGGTATACACGCTTTTGTCATTAGCGTTGTTTCACATAGAAACTAGTTTCCTATTTCTTTTTATAAAAAGTAAGTTGCCTGCATAATCTAAGGTAGTAAGTATAGCGAGTGAGTGTATATGTATAGTATAAATATGTAATAGTTTATATAGATACTGAAACTGCAGTATAACTTTCATGTAATGTATAATAAATAAAGAATACTAACTCTTTATAATACACCCAAAATCTTAGACGCCAATTTGATTAGTTGAGTACGTAGTAATAAAGGCCTGAGCATATCGTGTGCGCGTTGTGAGGAAGCGTGAACGCACCAGCGAGGTTATTCGAGACGACTTTTTACGATCGTTAACGCTATAGAATAGAACATAAGAATTAATGGGAATGAGATATCTGAACATTAAGTCACGTGACTACGTTGCATTCATTTTTATAGCGTTAACGTTCGTCGAATTTCTTCATATAGCTTGCATCCAGACGTGCTGCGCACGTACTTGCTGTCTTCCAGCCAAAAATATATATAATAATATCAATAAAATAATATAGTCCAGTATTTGTTTTTAAGTAGCACAAAAATCTGAGCAGCAAATTACTGTGTGAAAGTGAAATTGGAATAATCATTTTGTAATACATTATATTTTTATCACAAACTAATGTTTTCTTTCAATTTTGAAGCCTCTAATGTTGGAATAAAGGAAACCTCTACTTTCTTATAGCATATTCCTCAAAAATATTACTGTCGTACAATATGGAAAAATAGATTATTTCTTTACAAAAGATTAATAAGAGAGAGAAAGAATATTCTTAAGAGAATAATTATACTAAACAGAAATTCATCGCCGGCATACACTGTCGGCCAAAATTGTATGCCTTCTGAAGTCGAGTATAACTAAATTACTAAAAGAAAATACAACCGTGCTGTATAATGTTTAATATTTAACTTTTAAGACTTCATCATTTTTACAATATGATATTCATAATTTTACTGTTCCGTTTATTTACTGGATTACCTGTGTACTAATTTTCTAAAATTTTACTAAGATAAGAGATATCTTAGAGATATAACAGATATACTAGTTTACTATCCAGTAATTTTTATTAGTACAGGTCCCGTCACGTAAAAAGAACGCTGAGCGACAGTGGAGGGGGTGTGTCTGCGCATGGGTACAGTCGCGTTATAAAGTACTACATGGTACTAGGCTATTGTTTTATAATAAAATAGTAATTAATTGTTTTATTGTAGAAGCATAATAGGTACTTTACTAGCTACTTAGAACATTGGAAGAGTTTGATATTAAAAATGGATAATGTTTACATGAGCATAATTTGTTATTTGTGTCGTATAATATAAAGTAGTTTGTAACAAGAAAACTTAAGCTAAGGGTGACACGCCGTCTATTATATCGTCTTGGATTATATGGAAGCCAGATGTCGATGGTGTGTTGGTGTTACTGAATGCTACTTCATCATCACTTTCATCTTCGCTTGTGCTTCCGTCATTAGAATCATCATCATCAATCCGAATGATAAATGTTTCAGTCATCAGGTCGACCACATGGTAATTTTTTCGGTATTCTTCCTCGATTTTTTTAACTTTACTGCACAATTTTCCCCATTCACCTTCTCCCATCATATTTACCTTTTCGTTAGGTCATAAAACAATAGATATAAATAATTTTTCTTTCCTTCCTTTTTAAAACCATAGACGCGCGTCGTGCAAAGAAAGCTGTGTGTGCGATGCATTATGTGAACGAACAAAGCGCGAGAAGCATGGCGAACCAATAGCGTGCGCGCACAGTAATACTGGCGAGCATTCCCCCGTCGCGCCCCCTTCGTAGCACCAATTTGATCGATAAATCGCTCACTGCGCAGGTTCTTGCGTCCAGCGTTCTTTTTACGTGACGGGACATATACTGCGAAGTATTCGGTTAGACAAAAGGCGGAACGAAAAAGGTTTCATGTACTAGCTTCTCAAAACCCAGCTTTTAAATGTCATTTGGTTGTAGTATTCTAATAAGCCACAGGATCTTAACTTAAGGCATAATGCCCAGAGCCAAAGCCAGTTATCCGAAGACAAAATATGCAGCGCTTCGGTTAAAAGCCTCAGTGGATGTTCGGTACTGGCAGAATCTCTATCTGTTAAACTCTAATAATAAAACCTTTGAAACTGTTTCAAGTACAAATCTTTCCTTTATATGCCACGTACGCTCTTTTAAAATAATATGAACGGTTCAGTACATATACCTAAAGAATTTTTACGCATTGCTTTCATTTTTATTTTGTGGTTTGGTTTATTATAACTATCATCTTTTTATAATTTTTATTCTATTGAAAATAAATGATATACTCTGGTTATTAGATATACAATCATTGTTGTTGGTGCGTTAGTCTGTTTAAGGCCCGCCACAATACATACGGAATTCCGTTTCGGGATTCCGAACGCAGCAAGTCCATATAAAATCAAGGACCCGTCACACACGTACGGCAGTTTTCCGTTCGAAATTTTGCAGGCAAAACAGGATTCCGTATGGGGATCGACTCTTCCGGAATTCCGCATGTATGTGGCGGGCCTTAACCCATTCACTGATTTCCTAAGAATTAACAACGTTACCCCCATGCCGCCTTATACTGTTATTCAGCCCCCATATCAGCCCATTGCCGGGTCCGGCATCTCGATAAAGTATCTTGGCCCGCCCATCGGCGGTTTCGGCATGAGGCCTTAGATTTCGATTGAGATATTTTTAATGTCTAATTTACGACGAATCAAATGTATCTTAATCTGCGTATAAGATAGATTTAAGCACGAGCTTAGTACAAGGAAGTCTAAAATGAAATATAAAAAGCATACATTTTAGGGCTTTTTTTTCAAGTCATGCGTAGCCAACCTTTTTGTATGTTTAATTTTTTTTCCCACGTCTTACCTCTTTTGCATTAATATCTACCTGTGAACGAAAAGGTAGGACTTAGGCAGAGGAGATCATAGATAAATAAATAAGTAGCAAGCTAGAGCTAGGAGGAGATAGTCTACCTTCGATGCACTAAGTCAAACAGCAAACGAACTTCCAAAACGCTCAGCAAAACTCAAGTTGTGAAAACCACGAACGTCAGATGCGAGTAAAAGCTTTTTTCCGTAGACAACTTTTTTCTATAACATGTTACTTACGTTAAATCATAAATCATGCAAGTTGTAAAATTATTGATGTCCATAACAAAAGGTATCGGCACTTCTTTTGTTTTCAAAGTGACTATTACGGACCAGATCCTTTTGTTCAGATTTGCATTCTTATCTTGTTTCCTATTTACCGACAGTTTATGATCTCATCTGTATTAAACCACAATCCGAAATAGGTCATTAGCCAAAATTAAATCATAAATCATACCGAAAAGTTGTATATGGTCGGTGACCAAAACAAAGATTGGCCGACCGGTAAACCGATCGGCTACTTTTATGAAGATTATCTGCATTCTTATCTTGCTTCCTAGTTACCGACAGTATATTGCCTTATCTAGGTGTTACAAAAAGCGAGTAATGCTCTTAGGAAGTGATTCTATTGCTCAAAAACAACAACTTCTATGGGACCTATATCGAAATTTCAAAGAAAAAAAATACTTCACACAAACTCGTCTCAGCTGATCGGCGGTTTAGTATGGGGAAGCCAATTTTTTTGAGACTTCGATGTAGGTACGGTTTTATAGTTTTAATAATAAGGTGCAAGAAACAATAACGTTTATATTTTATTATCACTACATGTAAACATACTTTTTTTTTTAGTTTTTGATTAAAATTTTAACAAAAGGTTTGTTAATTCTGAATACGCGTACTGCCCGCCCATGGGCGGGGTCTGCATGACAGGTCAGAATTGTCCTTTTCTAAATTCTTAGATATCCGCAGGGCGTTTTGGTAACGAATTAATCATAATAAAACGAGTTATCAGACCAAATGTTATTTTTTCAAGTTATTTGGCATACTTATTAAGGTTTGAAATCTGCCTGCTGGGCTCGGCATTTGAATAAAAAGGTTTTGCCCGCCCATAGGCGGGCAAGGCACTGAAGTATTTATTGCAACGATGACAAATTTTAAAAGTGAAGCATTTGTTTTTAATATAATTGTTGAATGTACATATTATTGCTCCTTTTTTTAATAATTTTGAATTTCTGTTTATATATATACTTACACTTTATATTTTGTGGCCATTGATTTAATGTAAGCAGGAGCAAATAAAATTCGTAAGAAATCCAATGCACATACATTTATTTGGTTTCCATCACAATTAAAACAATCACGAGGTACTTTCCCCATTTAAGTTTCAAGCACTATCAAACTACACACAATCAAATCATTCATAAGTACAATACTTAAAACTTAACGTAAATTAATTTCAAATGAATTTTCTAACAGTGGCATAATTATTTAATCATTTAGCAAACAATATGTAAATTGTCTTTATACATTATGAGAGTTACTTTTTTACTCAAAATATTTTTCGATTGGTCACATTAGCACAAAACAAAATAAATAGGTTATCTAATAGACAATTTTGGCTCATATTATCTACTAATCTAAAACATATTTTACAATTTCATTAATTTCTTGCTAAAATTGTCTACGGAAAAACAGTGTATAAAACAAAAATCATCTCTTATACACATCACATGCTTCGATTGAGATGGATGAAGCGGTCTGAGAGGTACTAAATACTCTAGGTTGTTTAAAGAGCATCTAGAATCTTCTAGTTTGGTGGAGAATCATTTGACGCACGCTGAATGTGGACAGTCCGAGACCGATTGCAGCCAGGGCGACTGCCGATCTCGACATCATTTTCTCACGGCTCGCAGGCTGTAGACAAAAATAAAACAAATTAGGCTATAATAATATAACATTTTTGGCCATAACTATATGGGCTGGAGTAAGATAAAGAGATTTAATCACTGCACAATCTTTTTGGTTGCAAAATCATTTGCAAGTAGAGTCAGACAGATTTCAATATTTATATTGGCATACGCCTCACACCATAAAATAAACAAGCACACAAGCTTACTTGGCATAACACGTATTTCCTATGACAATATTTATTTTTATTAAATTTTCATTCGTTATTAATATAATAACATATTTTTCATCCATTCATTATAGCCCTTCATAAGTCCACTGTTGAACATAGGCCTTTAGGAGGATATTTGCCATACTTGCCACGCTTGGCAAGCGGGTTGGTAACCGCCGTGTTTTATTTTTAGTCGTTATTAGGAAGACGCTGCTGCCATTCTCCTGATTTGATTCCCTCTGTCGCCTCTTACGACACCCACGTGTAAAGTAGCGGTGTAAGAATATCCTACCCCATTATTAGTAAGATAAGAACAAAATAAATTTATTATTAAATCATTAATCGAAAATACTTGGGACACTTAGATGCTGCATCAGAGGCATGGAGATAATAATGATATTACATTCAAATCTAAAAACATTTGGTATTTCAAGGATACTTTCAGTATGTAAGGCTAAAGAGGTCAACCGCTTTTTATTAATATTAATATAAAACGATACAATGAATACCAGTTTAGAGAATACGAATAAAAAAACCTATTCGACCATTACAAAGACTAAAATAAAAAAGACATAACATTTGCAAACTAGTTGGTGGTATCAAGGTTTTA